GCCCTGTCTGTTGCAGTGCGGTGGACCAACGTGCCCTCGTCCATGGAGGCCGCCAAAAAGGGCGGCTTCCTCCGCGACCTGCCCCCTCTACCGCCAGCGGCAGCCAAAGGCACGACCCCCTCGCCCACCGAGCCGAGGATCGCCATCAAGCACCCGCTGGACGACGCACTGGGTGACCTGCTGCCGATGCTCTTCAGCCTTCTCGCTGCTCTGCAGACTCTCTGGACACCACAGGTGAATGGCTGACATGAGAAGCGGCTCTCACACACATAACACAGGCGTTTGTTGTCCGTGCACGTCAGTTTCTGGAGTCGGCCGAGTATCGCTGGACGCATTCCTTCCTCGACATTGGTGAAGACGACATCATCACCATAGAGGGACCGGGCGTCCGCACACACCCACAGATCCGCGAGGAGGCCACGCGGCTCTACCCCGGCCCAAGGGACGTCGCCATGGACTTCGGCTGGGTGAGGGACGCCAGGCGGCAGCTCTTCCACATCCGGATCGAGCTGTACCGGCTGATCGGGATGCTCAGCCGCATCAAGGCGGGCTTCTACGGCCACCCACGGCTGGCGCAGCTGCTCACGGGCCAGCTGGTCCCCGTGCTGGCGGGCATCCCCTGCCACCACATCCCACACCTGCTGTCCTTGGTGCTGGCGCCCATCTTCGCCGAGACGTCGCTGCCCTCCCCCTCTGAGTACCCCCTGCTGCCCCTCTTCACCCAGGTGCTGCAGCCCATCATGGACGCCATCCACACACGCATCACGGCAGAGTGGACGGCCACCGAGCCCTCGCGTGTCGCCGCCATTCAGTCCAATGACTTCAATGAGACCACCAAGTACCAGTTCAGACTCGCGGCTCTGTCCAAGGCGTCAGCAAAGTTCACTGAGTGGGTGGGGGGCTTCCTGAAGCTCAACCCCATGTATAATCTCAGCCTGGCCAGCGGCAGCGACCCATCTGGCGGCGACAGTACGATGGACGAGGGCGCCAACAGACAGCAGCAGCAGCAGCAGCAACAGAAGAAGGGCAAGCAGATCAAAGGAGGCAAGAAGAGAGCACCTGTCGATGCGGCCGCTGCTTCTGGTGGCGGTGGTGACATGGACGAGGCCGAGAACGGCACTGGGGGGTCAGTGGCCTCCTCGTCTCTGTCTGACTCCGCTCTCGAGCTGAAGCGCTTCATCTACCAGACCGACGCCTTAGTGGCCTTCCTCCTCCGATCCCTTGTCATGGTCATGGCGTGGCCGGAGCACCAGACCCTCCACGAGAGCTTCACGGGGCTGCGGGTGTTCCTGCGGACGGCCAGCATACAGTTCTCCCCCTCGCCCGTGTCCATCGTGCAGTTCTACAAGGAGCTGGTCCAGACGGTGGCGCACGTCATGGTGCGGCCGCCCACCACCGACCCATCCAACCTCACCAATGTCAACGGCAACGAGGGGTTTGTGGCTGCTGGGGCGGCGGGGAGCTCGTCGTCAGTGGTTCGAGGGGGTAAGGACATGGTGCTGCGGTCGCGGCTGTGGGAGTATCTGCACCTGGAGGAGGGCACCTGCTGCTTCCTCAATGACGTGGTGGCCACGGTGGGGGAGTGCTTCAGGGCCCTTGTCAGGTACGTGTGCACACGCAGACCACCCCTGTGTGCCATCAATCCATCCATGTGTGTATGTGTGGTGCAGGCATTTCCGCACCCAGGCTGACAAGGCGAAGGTCGATAGCTCTGCGGCGAATGTATACCTGTGCCCGCCGCTGCACGAGAGTTTCCAGCTGCTGTCCCAGCTGCCCGTCGCGCCCTCGGCTGACCTGCTGCAGAGCTACCGAGACGCAATGCTGGCCAAGGGGGAGGACGACAGTGTGCGGCGGAGGTATCTGCTGGAGATACTTGCACCAAACTACAGAGCCGCCATGGTCAGCACACTCCCTCACACACAGAGAAGGCCAGGAATACAGAGTAGTGTGGGTGTGTCTATGGTGTGTGTGGTGTGCAGGCCCGTGATGGGAGTGTGACGTTCAGCCACACCTCGACCATTCAGGATCTGCCCATCAGCTTCCTCTCTACCATGAAGCAGCGGGAGAGGGGCGGCAGGGACGTCTTCGCCGAGCCAGGGCCGATATTTGGCTAGCCATCCATGGGTGGGAGGGGCTGTGCGCAGACGATTTGCAAGCGTGTGGGCGACACACCTACGCATAATATACGTGCGTCTGAGTGGTGCATGGCTGAGTAATCGACCGACGGGTCGGATGAGAACCTGATGGTTTCTCAAACTGCATGCTTCGCTAGGATAACCGATGCATGCCGATGAACCATCCCTCATTCGATCAGGGGTTGTGTGTGTGCAGGCTGGCCACATGCGCATACACACAAATGGACTGACTTCTCCCCCCGTTACGGCGAGGGATGTTAAGCGGGCCAAGGATCGAGCGAGCCTAAAACAAAAAACATCTTCGTCTTTGGCATTCATTCCAGCTCTTGCAAGGCAGAATGCACGGTCTTCTCTTCCAAGTTGCCGCACTCGGCATCGCCACGTACGCGCTGTGGCAGATTGTGGACACATACGTGTACACCAGCATGTACACGTCCTCGCGTGAGGACATCCTAGTAGTACCAGGCCTCGGCCCGCCGCACACAACGCCAACAACAGAAGAAGACGGTACGCAATGCAATTTAGGCATGAGATGCATTCGGATGAATGCATCATCGTTGAATGAATGCATCATTGTTGATGCATATATGAGATGCATCCATATTATGGATGGATGGATGGATCATCGCTGAATGCATCCTTTTCTGCCGTTGCTGCTATTGATTGCGTGCAGAACTGTTGGGAAAGCGTGGCTACAGAAGCTGGCGGCAGCGGGTATGCAGGGAAGGATCCATGAATGGAGGATGCTTCCACGTTTTTGGCTGGTTTGGTTGTTCAGGAACGTCAGATAAAACTGCAGCCCTCACGTGGTGGCAACACAATGGGTGCAGCGGAGACCTGGCCGGCAGATTTGATAGCCGAGTCGTCCGAGTGCGGCACTCCCTTCAACTGCAAGGTCACCTACGCCAACGCCCTCACCCCCGAACTCTCGTCCGTCGCTTCAACCACCGGCACGTCCGGCACCGAGCTGGTCATCAAGGGCAGCGGACTCAAGTCCACCACACGGAGCCCCGTCACGGCTGACAACACCTGCTGGGTCGCCGACCAGAAGGTCATTGTAGGCGGCGAGGTGTGCATTCTCACCACCACTGGCGAGCCCGATGGCGAGCTCAAGTGCAACCTTGGCGAGTGCGAACTCAGACAGGTGATAACCGAGACCACACGAGAGCCTCTGTTCATTCACCTGCCTGTGTTCCCTCATCTCTGCAGTGCAACCCCGAGTGTGTGGCTCAGGAGCGTGACGGCCTCAAGCACCGCACAGCCCCGCCCTTCAAGCTGACCTTCGGCCCGGGCGCGGGCGGCGGATTCATCGGTCAGAAACACTCCCTCCCTCCCTCCCTCCCCCTCCCACACCCCTAGGCAGAGGGCACTTTTGCTCTCCCGTTCAGACATTCGGAAGATGTTGTGTGGCGACAAGACCATGTCGTTGCTGGAGCTGTGGGGGGCCGAGTACCAGGAGAACTACGCGCTTGTCATCCGCCCCGAGTCGGTGGAGCTCTTCGACACCCTCTGCAAACGCGACAAGGCCCCGTGCAGCGTCGTTGGGCACATCACTGGTACACGCCACGCACACACTCTCTCACACTGACGGCCCCAATCCTTTGTCCGTCCATCTCCATCGCTCTTTGTCTCTGTGTAAGTGTGGGTGTGTGTAGGTGATGGGATCGTGCGTGTGTGGGACGCCGAGGACGGCACGGCGCCAGTCGACCTGCCTTTGGAGAAGGTGCCCCAGAAGGTCTTCAAGAGCGACAGAAAACAGTCCATCAGCAGACCACTACAGGTCAGCACGACACGACAGGCAATGAGAGGAAGGCGGGCTGTCATGTGTTTGGTTGTTTGTTTGTGTGTGTGCAGTTCCCGGCTGATGTGACGGTCATGAGTGCGCTTGACCGTGTGTTGCGGCTCACCTCCGTGGGGTCGAAGCGGTTCCTCACCAACAAAGTCGACCGGTCCGTCACGGGCCTCATCGCACAACAGCAGCGCATCGGGCCGCTGCAGGTACCACCACACACAATCATAGACATACACATGGATTGATCCCTGCTGTGTGTCGGTATCCGCCCGTCGACAGTTGACCCTCTCCGATGTGGCAGTGATTGCCCAGAGCCATCTCGGCACGACAGGTGGCGCGACGGCCATCGGCGAGCAGCCGATCAAGGGCTTCCTCGACAGTGCCGCCATCAATATCTGCCCAGCTGGCAATGAGCACATCGATGTCGAGCTCATGCTCGTCACGGGGGAGACATGCACAATGCTCTCCACACACGGACTCCGGACCCTCAACGAGACCGTCGGGGCGATGGACTGCACACTGGAGCAATCGTGTGTCGTCATGAAGTTCGGTCCCTCGGCCCTTAAGGAGGGCGCCATCCACATCAAGCTGAATGGCAACGCCGGCCAGTCGGTAGGCGCCTTGCTCGTGGCGCGAGACCCCACCGTCATCGCCATGGGCAATGTCAGCACCAAAACGCCACACACCGTGGACACACTCCCCGTCACCCTCTGGATACGGGCGACCTTGAGAGGGTACGTGAGGGAGCCTGGAGGCACCAGGCAATGGCTCATGTGTGTGTCTCGTGTGTGTGCCTTGGCAGGTGGGCCATGTCAGTCGTCCCAGCCAAGCCACGATGGGCGGGGGAAGGCTGTTCCGGCCGTATCCCGTCCATCACGGATGGCTCAGGACAACACACATGCCCTCCCTCTAGTTGCCCAGCATCGCTCTACAAGGAGAAGGCCGTCGTCAGTGTCTGGTGGGGCATCGTGTGGACGGCCCTGTGCATCATCGCCATCGGCCTGAGCTCGTGGCATGAGCCGCACAGCAGCGGCGTTGTCGGTCAGTACCTCGCCATGCGCGAGCGCCAAGCAGCGGAGTACAAGAGACAGGTGTGAGCACAGCAATGGATGGGGGCTGTCCGTCATTTTGATGCATGTATGGGTGTTCTTTCCTCTCAGGGCGGCAAAGGACGACGAACATCAGGCCAGGCTCAAGGCAAAGGACGACGAGATACGGTATGGAAACAAGAGAAGCCCGTGTACTCCGTGCACAATTAATCGGTGTCAACGTATGCCTTCAGACGGCTTCGAGATGAAAACGCCAGGATGGCCGAGCAGCTGAAAGAGCTCCGTCTCGCCGTACGCAGCACCCTACGGATCCGTTCGCACACAGGCAGTACAGTTTCGTGTCTTTACTCATGTATCCCATTAGGCCGCAACCAACTCACTGAGCTCCGTGCTGGCCAAACGGCTGACCACCACCAACGAAGCCGCACCAGGTGAGTGCCTTCATTAGCCGGAGACAGACAGCATGCATAACGACGGCCGCGTGTGTGTATGTGTGTGCTGCAGATTTGCACTTGCCAGTGTCGGGGTGCAATGCCGAGTATCGCTGCGGCCATCCCACCAACGAAAATGTCGACAATGGTGAGAAGGAAGAAGACACCAAGCTCACCTCACGTCCCTTCATCCATCCTCTCCTGTCCCTCGGCCGTGTGTGCAGCTGCCACCGGCTACGTCTCGCGACGAGTGAAGGCGATCGAATCGGGTGTGTCGCCGTCTGCCGGTACACATACACGCCACCAAGACAACAGCACCACAACGGCTGCGCACGTGAGGTCTTGTGCGCGTCCATCGCATGCAGCCGTTTTCCCGCCCCCGTGTGTGTTGTCGTCGTCGTCGCTATACATCAAGCCCTCTTCTGCCAAGCCTGGTTCAGGTGTGCATGCGCGCCGTACACGCACACGCAGACGCACAAACCTGTGTCTCCCTCCCTCTCTCCCTCTTCTCTTTGCAGCACTCAACAACAAGGGCATCCAGGCGTACGTGGCGAGCGTGACGGCCAGCTCGGAGGTGCAGACGGCCCAGCCCATGCAGGCGACTGCGGGTGTGCAGGCCTACGTGGCGAGCGTGACGGCCCACTCGGAGGTGCAGACGGCCCAGCCCATGCAGGCGGCTGCGGGTGTGCAGGCCAGCCCCCAGACGGCCACGGCCGCCACGCAGACAGAGGGCAGCATCGTCACAAACAGCATGCGCGACCAGTAAGGACGCAACAGGAGACACGCACGAAAACAGCTATATAATACATGTACGTACCTTGTGGCGTATTCACTTACATGCAGCATAGCCACGCGGGCTTACTACATGTACCTGGCGAACCCCGCACACTCGCAGGAGACCAAGTGGGCCCTGGTACATACATAGGATCCGGGTGTGCGTGATTACATCCACCATATGGCAGCCGGCAGTATCTCTCCCTCTCTCTCTCTCTCTGTCCGTCCTCAGGCCGCCCTGGCTGTGCTGGATGCTCTCTATGGGTTCCTCTACCTGTAGAAGACCAACCCAGCCGTGTAGCACATCACACATACATGCGTGTCGAGCATGTATGTTCGTATACATAGCTAGGGGTGCTAGGGGGATGGGTCGCTGGCTGGCGTGTTGTTTATGCGCTCTTCATAGATGTGTGGTGGTTGTGGCTGGCGTTTGAGGCGGTGGTCAACGCCGACTGCCAGTTCACATGGCAGCAGCTAGGGGCCACACTCCAGTAGCTGACTCGCAGAGGGATTTGGAGAGGAGCGGTGACGATGAGATGGAGCAGTAGTGGACGACATAGATGAATGAGGGGCGCAGGCAGGTGGGGGGGCTTTGGTGTGGATGGATGGATGGATAGCTGTCGGTGCCTGACTCACACTCGACTGCTTCCTGGGTGGCCGGCACGATGGGGGCGGTGTCATGACACATGCGCGTTGGTGTCGAGAGAGGGGGGCGGGCGGGTAAGAGGCAGGCAGGCAGGCAGGCAGGCAGACGGGGAGATGCCACCAGAGATGCCTCACCTGCCGCCTGGCTAGCTATAGCTAGCGGGTGGCCGGAAACTATACCATGCCAGTGTGAGTGGGTGTACATGTGTGTTGTTTCTCGTGTGTGAAGGGACAAGTGAAGGGACTTCTTCTATCACTCCCTCGTGCGTGTGTCGACCTACATGGTGCGGTGCATGGACACGGCAGGTTGTTGAAGAACATCTATGCTTCTCGTCGATTGATTCAAGCCCTCCGGCCACATCGTGCGAGCTTGGCATCTGCGAGCTTGGCAATCACGGCCTTTTGGCGCATGGTTGGTGTG